CCCCAAAACCCCAAAACCCCAAAACCCCAAAACCCCAAAACCCCGAGAGATTTAAGACGGAATGAATATTGGGGATAATATAAATATGTTTGAGAAGAGATCGATGGAAAGAATTAAGAGTAAACACAGGTGGGGGAGTGTGAATTCAAGGGAGGTCAGACAAATGGCGAGGAGACAGCTTGGGCTTGGCTCAGGAGTAAGTTTTGAATAAGTCTGAGCTTAGAGTTGGCTTTTTATCCTTTACTAGTATTAAAATTCTGTACTTACGCCATCTGAGATCCAATAATATTGATCATCCGTACTAGTTATTAATGATACTTGGTTTTATCTCTTTATTATATTTGTCATACAATCAGGAGACTCTTTAGAGAGATAAAATATAAAAATTATTATGAACTTATAACTATTCGGATTCTTCATCAATTTTCCCAAAGAATTTATTCTAGATTTGGAATATTTTCTTATCTTAATAGGGTAGCCTCAGCTTAATGAATGTAGTATGTGGGGACTATGGGCTCGAAGCTTCTATTTGGTAATTATAGTATTTTGAATTAAGGTATGCATCATAATCCACATCCTAGATATAAGTACTCCCAATAATTTCAACACTTTTAGTGTACCCAAAATTTGCTCTAAACCCTAGCCTTAAAACTTAAATCTTTGCTGTAAATTATTTCTTGCTCATAACCTCCTGCTCCTATCCTTAAAATCCAATTCTGGGACCTCTAAAATTTCTTAAAAAATAGTAAACCATATAGTTTCGCAGCTATAGAATCTCGGAAGTGTACTCTGGTAAAGGAGTGCATCACAATAGGGTCTTGGTCTACTCATAATTTTAAGAATTATTAACCTATACTGATATAGCTGCTTCAGGCTCCAAAATCTTTGGAGGTGGCAACCCCACTTGTGAAAAGTTCTAAAAGAACAATTTCAAGGTTTGGACAACAAAACTTGGTGGTTAAGAGTAGGAATAGATTTGGGTCAGTGGCCAGGACAGCTGAGATGACCTTGAGTTCTCCCACTGTACATCCAGTGAATGGCACGATTTCTAAGGTCACTATTAACGATAAGCTTGAGAAATTATGGAATATGAAAGTGAAGAAGCAGAATGCTCTAGGCATGAATAGCTTTAGTACTCAATATTTGAAAATTATTAAGATAAGAAGGAGAGCTACTCTTATCAAAATTCACTTCCTTAAGACAGCATATACTGCTTTAAATAGTCTGAGGAATTCTAATGTCAGATTCAGAATTTTTACAAGTGGATTCAAGTTTATAAATAGGAATTATCATCAAAGAGGATTTTCTGATGTTCTTACTCCAATACCAATGGCCAAGAAGGCCTCAATATGGTCTAATTTCTCCGATTGAAGTAAGCCTTAGCCTTAATCTCTAGTGAACTGTTTTAAAATGGATGGCGACTCTGTTGTGATAGTAGATAATCAGGACCTTTTGATGACAAAGGAACTTATTTCAAACCTTATTACTCAGAAGAAGGGTAAAAATTTACTTTACAAAGATATCCTTATGAAGACTGTTAATCAGAAGAAGCCTCCCAAAGTTTTAAAAAAGAAAGTTACAAAGTGGAATTCCCAGAAGAAATATGTTATTAAGTAAGACTTCGATAGTTATTTTTCTAGAATGAAGACTAAAAAGAACTTGAAGTCAAGATTGAAGCTTGAAAGGAAGTTCAAAATAAATACCAAAATGTTACCCTGGCAAGATAAGAAAGAGGAGTTTAGTTTACCACCCATGCTGAAGAAATAAAAATTCCTTGAAGAAGCATAAATTTCTAATTTTGAATTGATAACTTATTATCATAAATTTTTTATCTTATTACAAATTCTGGATAAGCAGATATAGTCTTATCGAAGATCTTATTCTATAAATGTCTGAAATTAAGATTTTGGATCCTAACTTTTCCATTCATCGAGCAATCAGATATTATATAGATTCATGATTCAATAGCTCAACTTAGTTCAGGGGTTTTGGGGTTTTGGGGTTTTGGGGTTTTGGGG